GCCCCCCACCCCCGTCAGTTCTGCACCCCGCTGCCACCACCCAAGTCAGGCCCCTCTATCTGTCTAACCGGGTGTCACAGTGCCCTCCTGGCCTCAGCTTCTGTTCTCAAGCACACATCTGATCTGCTGCTGGCCCTTCCCACCGGTTACAGAGCCTTTCCTGACCTGGCCCCGCCTCCCCCTCTAGCCTCTGCTCCTGAAACCTCCCCACCTCCAGCCACAGAGGTAGAGTTGCTTCTTCCCCAGCATCCAATTCCCTCTCCTTCTGGGCAGAATCCAGCTTTAGTTCAGGGTTCTCCAGCCCCTGGAAGCCCCAGGACTGGCTCCTGGTAAGTCTTGGCCCTCCTCGCATCCACCCCTTTGCCGGTTCAAACACCAGACTGAAGCCAGGCAGCGCCAGCATCTCCCCCGTGGCCATGGTTAATCCGGAGGGACATGGGACCTAAGGGAGGCCAGTCTGAACCCTTATTCCATCTCCTGCTTAATATAAACAAGGAGGCACAGTGCCCCAGCTGTTTCTGGCACCTGAGAAGAAGAGGGGAAATAATAGAGCAGTCCCTAGGTGAGCTAAAGCTGAGTTACCCTCCCAAAATAATTAACAACACCCTTTGGGATGAGGGAGCAGAACTCCATTCCCAGCAGGAAGGACTTGCCGCTGCTCAGAGGAGATAATTCTGGGTTAACAGACAGCAGAAACACCATTCAACTATTTCTGTGTCCATTTTTCTAGCAAGAAGGATGATTTTCAAACTGGAAAAGGGAGAAGGATATGTTTAACAGGGATGTGGCCCAAGATATCTCTGGCTGCTCTCAACATCTTCTATTCTCAGATGCAGAGCTCAGAGCTGGACAAGGAAGGTGGGCTGAGAGCACAGGGGACTGTTTGCAGATGGCCTCAACCCCCAGGAACGCCCTAGCCCAGAAGAACGTCTCAAAGATGCTGGCAAGTGTTTACAAAAAAGCCTGTAATAAGAGCAACAGCAGTTCTCATAGTGCGCCCACTCTGTGCAGATTCTGGACATTTCACATGTACTAACTCACTCAAGCCCCAAATAACCAACCCTATGGAGTGGGGACTATCATCACCCCCATTTTATGGATGAGTAAGCAAAGGCCTAGAGAGGTTAGAGGCAAAAAGCAAAATATCAGAGGCCGACACGGTTCAGGGCCCTGGGCCATCGTTTCTTGCATTCGTCCCAGGAGTTGTGCTCCTATTGACAAGTATGACAGACCTTCGGGGCTGGGACAGCGCTGTGCCCTGGCTCCTCTCCATCCTTACATTCCTTAACACGTTAAGCTTTGTGTCTCACACATTACTCATGTTTTTGTCAGTTTCCTCATCTTCTCTTTTCTCCTGTGATTCCTATGTCAACAAATCAGGGCAACATCAGAGGCCAAGCTAATACACACAATTATTATTAACTGAAGTCCATACTTTATTCAGACTTCCTTAGTTTTTGCCTAGCGTCCTCTTCTTGTGCCAGGATCCCACCCAGGACACCACATGATGTTTAGTTGTCATGTCTCCTTAGGTCTGCTCGCCTGGGGCAGTTTCTCAGACTTTCCTTGGTTTTGATGACCTTGGCAGACTGAGCAGGTGTTTTGCAGAATGCCCCTCGGTTGGGATTTGTGTGACGTTTTCTCACGACTAGACAGGGGTGCTGGGTTTTGGGAGGGAGATCACAAAGTAAAGTGCCACTCCCATCACATGGTATGAAGGGTACGTACCACCTGCATGACTTATCACTGCTTATTTTGACCTTGGTGACCTGGCTGAGTCAGGGTGTGTCTGGCTTCTTCACTGCGAAGTTGCACCTTCCCCGTTTTCATGTTGTGCTCTTTAGAAGACAGTTGCTATGCATATCTGACATTTACAGGGTGGGGAGTTATGCTCCACCTCCTTGATGGGGAATTATCTATTATCTACATAAATTATTTTAATTTCTTCTGCATGGGAGACTTTCTTCATATTTATTTATTCATTTATTCAATCATTTATTGATATCAGTATGGCCTCATGGATATTTATTTTATATTTTGCAACCCAGTATATTTTGCTTTTTGCAAAGCATTTGATTCTAGTACCTCTGGTATTCTGGGCCTAGTTGATAAAATGTGAATATTCAGCTCTGAGAAATTCTCTGAACTCCATATCTAACCAATGATAGTTATCCACCCTAGAGCACTAGAGGGGCTGAGAAATCAAGGTCTCTGCCTGATTTTTAAACAAATGAAACAGAAACTGTCAGAGAACTTGCATTTTGAAGAGGTCCCTACCTGTGGGGAAATGACATAATATTCTCTAGTGCCATGTGAATCTGGCGTGCAGTGAACAGGGATGCAAAATATATTTCTGTGGGTCTCAGTCAATAACGGTGTGAGCAGAACTGGCCCCTACAAGGCTCTGTCCGTGGTCCTGCCCTGGGTTTACAGCCAGCCTTGCAGATTGAGACATAAAGTACCCAATTTTCCAATCTGCAGGCAGTATAGTATCTGAAAGTGACAGAGGTAAGACTGTAAATTCTATTTTCTGTTACAATAGGATGAAATAAACAAGATGAAATTGAATAGGAATAAGGTCCAAGTAACATGTTTAGATTTCATGAAATTACTGACACAAACAACAGGCCTGATCTCTTCAACAAGTCAGGATTATTAAAATTAAAAAAAAGAAAAGAAAAAAAGAAAGAATTGTGTTAAGTAAGAGAGACCAAAGGGCCATAACGACTGGATGCATTGCAGAGTTTTGGAGAGGAAATTGGTTTAAACAAAACAGCAAAGATTGACATTTTGGGGCCAAACAGGGAAATCTGAATAAGGTATGCATATTAAGTGAGATGAAAATTTATTGAAGCAGAAAAGCACTGATCATTTACCAGAAAAAAAGCAGGCTACAAAACAGCATGCACAGCACGATCTCATTTTACGGAGAAAATCTACCTATAAGCATAGAAGCAGCTCTGGAAGGATGTGACCAAGGTGTCACAGCAAGGCTCCCTGGGAGATGGGAACATAATATTTTTGTTTTTGCTTGTCCATATTTCTAATTTCCCACAGTGCATATAAACTGCTTCTTGTAATGATATAAGATTATGCTTTAAAAAGAAAAAAATCACTGACTCTCCTCCAGGAAGGAGGGGAATCTTGGCATGGCAGAGGTTGTTAAGAAAGATCCCTGGAGGGTCTGATGGCCAGAAACTTAGTATGAGTGCACCACTCAAAAGACAGCTCCACCCCGAGCCATCAGTGAGTGTGAGAGGTGTTGGGGCTGGAACAGTCCTGGGGGGTCCCCTGGTCCAGGCTTTCCCTGTTATTACTAGGAAAGCTCTGTCACACAATTAGTTGATGGGCAGCTTCAGGGCTGGAAGCCGGAGGTTTGGTATGGAAATGGCTTGGGGCTTCAGGAACAGGGGGTATTTGGCCTGGAGAAGGGAGGAAGGGAGGAAGTGGGTGGGAAGGGGACAGGAGTGCTGTTTTCAAATACTGAAAGGCTGCCACGTAGAACAGAGACTCACATGAGTCCTTGTGCAGAACCACGATGACTAAGTGACAAGCAGGTCTGGCTACAGAGTGCATGAGGGATAAGCTGGCGAGACTTGATGGGGGCTCAGGACTGAGGCTCCATGCCCTCCTGCCAGACCCTGTGGGGAAGCCCTTCCAACCAGAGACTGTGGTTCTGGAACTCCAGTTCCAGCCAGAGCCCGAGGCTTCTTCTCCCCTGCAGCCTGTGACCAGAAGGGAAGGAGCTGGGGCTCTCCCCTGTGCAGATCCCAGCAGAGGGGGAGGGTGGGCTGCAACCGGGCTGCAGCAGTAAGCCTCCTGGGTAGCAGTAAGCAGTACCCGAGTTCTTGAACTTGACACTTGCTTCACCCTCCTTCACCTACTGCTCCCAGGGACTCCCAGATGGGGGTCATGCCCAGGGGCCATGGAGAGATGATTATCTATCACCTCCCCCTTGCCAGGTGAAAGGGAGGCATGGATCCAACCCAGCCATGCCCTGATTTCTCCCATGTTCTGGAATGCTAGGCCCCAGCTGTCCCCGGAACAGAATGCCAGCCGGTGCCCATGCAGAGCTTGAGGCCTCAGGTGGCCTTGGAAACTCACTACTCAGGGCTTCCTGCCCTGACTACTTGAGAGTGGGCAGTAATGGGAGGGCAGGGATGCTCCCCTGGCAGGTAGGTCCTTGCTCTCCCCTCTCCCCCTGAGAAACAGCCATCAGCCCGTGTCCGTGGCATGAGAGGACACCGATCTCGAGTACATTTGTTGATATACTTCTGCCCACCCCCTGGCAGCACCCACCCTCCAATTTCAGCCTTGCTAACAATCAGCATAGCTCCTGCTTCCCCCAAATAGAAGCGGGCCCACCGCTGGAAACCGCTCAGCTGCGATTCCTGGCGGGCCTGCTGCAGCCACCACAGCCAGCTGTCAGCCAGGCCTACCCATCGGAGCCCGCATGGGGGTCACAGGGCGCTGGGTCGAGAATCCAGGAAGGCCTCAAGCAGACACCTCCCGTTGTGTCCTAGGCCGGCTGGATGTAGCCAAGGAGCCGAGGCGGCGGGGCTCCCCTAGTTGTCCTCTCCTCGTTGGCCAGGCCCAGTGCGGCGCGGGCCTCCCCACCGCGTCCTGGAATTCCCGCACACGGATCTCTACGTTGCTCTCCGCCGGGTGGGAAGGGGCCGGGGTCCCGAAGGCAGGGTCTGCCAGCTCCTTCCTCCGAAAACACCGAATGGGTTGCAGAGCGGTCCGAAGGACCCGCACAGCCGGGGGTGGGAAGGTGGGCAGAGAGGCCACCCGGGGTGTGACGCGTGACGCTCGCAGCACGGGCGCTAATGGTGGAAAGCGAGAGTCCGACAGGGCGGGGATGCCAGGGGTTCGGGGTCCTTAGCTCCGGCGGGATCCCTCCCGGGGGCAGCCACCGCCGGGGGCTGGGAGCGGGCAGGTGAAAGGCCAGGGAAGCCGAGCGGTGGGGTATCGGGGCGCCCCCGCCGCGGCACTCTTACCTCCTCGCCCTGGCCGAAGCGCAGCCCCAGCGCCGCGACGCGCTCCACGCGCAGGAAGCCGTCGGGGTCGCGGCCGCACACCTCGAACACCTCGCGCAGGCGGCGCACGGAGCGCAGCAGAGCC